AGGCACACCTCCGAAATTGGTGTTGGTGTCAATCTCTAGGCCTGCGAATATGTCTCGTGGGCCCCCGAACGGGGTGGTGACCACACCGTGTGGTGAGTCGGTGGGGATTCGGGGTCACCGCACGGTTTTTGAACTCGAGGCCCTCTCCGAGGACGTCTCGGGCGACAGGGGCCTCCAGGGTCCCAAGACCGTGCGGTGACGGACCGTGCGGTGCGGTCTTTGGGGATTTCGAGGTCACCGCACGGTCTGTCACCGCATCGTTTCGGGACTCCAAAGAAGCAGATATGTCAAGCGTCGCTGCCTGACCAGCGTCTCCATGCTGTTGACGCCGAGGGTCTCGCGGACCTGCTTGTCCGTGAGGTGGTGCTCGCTCGGGCTACGGCCGTAACGCGGGAAATCACCGATCTGCCGCAAAGCCTTCATGAACTGTTCCAGGATGTGCAGAGCTGCACTAGGCCGTCGTGTGCAGGAGGAGGACAGGAGGCGGGTCTGGGGGACAAAGGAAGTGGCTGCGTATGTTCAGAGCAGTCCCCTGAAGCGCTGGCGGGGGCGCCATGCCCGCGGCCAGCAGGAACGGGAGGAGGATGTAGCAATGGGGAGGGAGGAGGGGGCCTAGACGGACTGAGAGAGGGACGGAGGGAACGAGGTCTTGTTGGCACTCTCTCGTGGTCTCTTCGGCCCCCGTTTGGGCCGTCCTGGAGCCTGCTGGAGCCGCTTGGGCGTGCCCGTCTCCGCCTCCCCCCGCTCCTCCCTGCCTTCCGAGCCGCCCGCGGGATCGAGCCTCGCAGACGCACCCCGCCCGCCAGGGAGCAGCTCTCGCCCGGGCCTCCCACCCGGGCCTCCCAGACGGGGTCCTAGGATGGCCCCGCACACTGCCGAGGCACCGGCGCATGCGGCCCGATGTGGGGCCCAATTTTTTCGCCACGCCGACGTCGCCGAGACTCGGGCCGAGCGAAAAGGGGGGGATAGGGAAAGGGGGGGGGTCCGAAATCTGCTGCATGCAGCTGGTTTCGGCCCCGCCGCCGGGCGCATTCCTCGATGCATGGGCGCCTCCCGGCGCCGGGAGGCGCTGGGAAAACCAGCCACGTGAGCTGATTCTCTGCCCTTGGCTATCCCCCCCTTTCGTTCCTCCCGACCGGCGTCGCCGAGACATCTCCGACGTCGCCGATGCCTCGGCGCGATCTGCTGGGCGTGTTTTCCACCACCACCACCATAAGTTGGAGGGAGGAGGAGGAGGAGGAGAAGGAGGAGGAGGAGGAGGAGGAGGAGGACCCCCCCCTCCCAACTCATGGTGGTGGTGGTGGAAAACACGCCCATCACGATCTGCTCGGACCCCAGTCGGGAGGCCCATCGGCTCCGGAGCGCGCGATGGTGCCGCCCGCGGCGCGCCGTGCGGGCCTCGCCGCCGCCCTCGGCCTGCTCCTGGGGGCGCCGGCAGGGCTCTCGGCCGCGCAGGAGCTCGGGCCGGCGCTGCTCGCGGACGACGAGTGCGCGGCGGCGGGGCGGCGCGCAGATCAGGGGCCACGTTATAGGGGGAGTGTATCTGTATATGTATGTATATATACACATATGTGTGTATCTAATTAGACAGATATGTACACGGCGAGGCCAGGACGAGGACACATTCGGCTGAGGACACTGGGATGACCGTGGGGGTTTCTAAGTGGATCGGGGGGCTACAAGTGGATGCCAAGGTGGGTGATGTCTGGCCCAGCCTGGCTTACAAGTGGGCTACAACTGCCCCAAGTAGCTCAGGGTTGTTAGCGATCTGAGCCAAGTGGGCTCCGCCCACTTAGCGGAGTTTGCTTACCCCCCCTAAGCCACTCGGGGAATTTGTAACGAACTGATAAGCCCGGTTGGGGCAGATAGAACCCACCTTGGCATCCATGTGTTACCCCCTATCCATTTAGAACCCCCCACTGTCATCCAAGTATGGGGGCATACATATGTATGTATATACATATACATACATATATAACCTATTTATATAGGTTGTAGATGTATGTGCTACATATACTTTTTTTTCATTTTACACATGTGTATATGTTTATGTATACATATATTTATACATGTGTGTAATTGTGTATGTATACGTATATGTATACGCATATGCATATGTATATGTATAGGTACATGTATATGCATATGTATAGGTATATGTAGAGGCATATGTGTATGCATATGTATATGTTTAGGTCTATGTATATGTGTATACGTATATGTATATGTATGTGTATATGCATATGTATATGTAGTTGTATATATATATGTAGGTATATGTATGGGTATAGGTATAGGTAAAGGTATTTACACATTCACATGCGTATGTATAAGTATACGTATACGTAAGTGCATGTAAATATGTACATGTTTATGCACACGTATATGTACATGTATATGTATATGTATTTGTATATGTATATGTGTAGGTATGTGTATATGTATGTGTGTACGTAAAGTGATATGAATATCTAAATGTATAGGTCTATGTCTATGTATACGTATATGTATATGTACATGTGCATGTATATGTATATTCATAGGCATATGTACATGAATATGTTTATGTTTAAATATATGTATATGTATATGTATAGGAATAGGGGTATTCATATGACCATGAATACGTATACGCATATGTATATGTATATGCATATGTGTATGTTTATATACATGTATATGTATATGCATATGTAATTGTTCGACGATCTGTTTATGTATATGTAAATGTACATGTATATGTATATGTCTATGTCTATGTCCATGTATATGTATATGTATATGTATATGTATATGTACATGTATGTGTATATGTATATACATATGTGATTTTGTATTTGTATATTTATATGTATATGTGTATGTATATGTATATGTATATGTATATGTTTATGTCTTTACTCACATATATGTATATGTATATGTTTGCATATGTACATGTATATGTATTTGTTTATGTATATGTATATGTATACGTATATGTAGATGTATATGTTTTTGTATATGTATATGTATATGTATTTGAATATGAATATGACTATGAGTATGCATATGTATTCGTATATGTATGTGTATATGTATATGTATATGTATATGTATTTGTTGGTGTTTATGTATATGTATATGTATATCTATTTGTGTACGTATACGTACATGTATATGTACATGTATACGTATATGCGTATGTACCTGTATGTGTATATGTGTATGGATATGGATATGTATATGTATATGCATATGTATATGTATATGTATGTGTACATGACTATGTACATGGGTATGTATATGTATATGTATATGTATATACATATGTGTATGTATATGTATATGTACTTGTACTTGTATGTGTATGTGTATATGTATATGTCTATGTATATGTATATGTATATGTATATGCATGAGAATATGTACATGTATAGGTATATGTATATGTATATGTACAGGTATATGTATTTGTATATGTATATGTATATGTGTATCTATATGTGTATATGTATGTATACGTGTATGTATATGTTTATGCCTATGTGTATGTATGTGTATGTGTATGTGTATGTGTATATGTACATGTATGTGTATATGTATATGTATATTTATATGTATGTGTATATGTATGTGTATATGTTCATGTCTATGTATATGTATATGTATACGTATATGTATATGTATATGTATATGTATATATAGATGTACATGTATATGTATATGTATATGTATATGTATATGTATATGTATATGTATTTGCATATATATATATATATATGTCTTTACACATGTATATGTATCTGTATATGTATATGTATATGCATATGTGTATGTAAATGTATATGTTTATGTACATGTGTATGTATACGTATGTGTATATGTATATGTATATGTATATGTATATGTATATGTATATGTATACGTATACGTATATGTCTATGTCTATGTCTATGCATATGTCTATGTCTATGTCTATGTTCTTGTATATGTTTATGTATATGGTCATGTATATGTATATGTACATGTGCATGTGTACGTATACGTTTATGTATATGTACATGCATATGTATATGTATATGTATATGTATATGTATATGTATATGTATATGTATATGTATATGTATATGTATATGTATATGTATATGTATATGTAAATGTTTATGTATATGTATATGTATATGTATATGCATATGTATATGTATATGTATATGCATATGTATATGTATATGTATATGTACATATATATATATATATATGTCTATGTATATGTATATGTGTATATTTCATATATGTCGAGGCCAGGACGATCACGCATTCGGGTGAGGATGAATCGAGAATCTCCCAGATCCGGCGGCTCCCGAGGATGTATCGGGCGCCGTGGCCCTCTCAGAAAGCCATCCGGAACGCTCCGAGAGCGTCCCGGAACGCCCTGGAGCCGATGTGTCCTCGTCCTGGCCCCGTCCCAGCACAGGCTAGGCGCAGGGGGGGATGATGCAGCGACCGCCCATTGCTGGTTGGTCGCTGGCAGGGGGGGCCGCGGCAGCCCCCGCCTGCCCAGGAGCGCGCGGGTGCGCCGTCGGGGACCTCTCGCCGAGCTGTCGGCGATGCACCGCCGGTTCCAGTCGACGCGTTCCTCCCTGAGCCGTTCCCCCCCCCCTAACCCTCCCCCTCCGCAGGGGGCTTGGTCTCGCTGGGACGTGTGCATTTTTTCTCGGCGAGGGCCATCGAAGAGCAGATTGGATCCTTCTCGGGTTTTGCTAGAAGTGCCCCTGGCCCAAGGTGCCCCCCAGGATTCCCAGGGAGGCCGCCACGGCTTCCAGAGCACCCCCTACGAGGCCCAGAGGGCCCCCATGGGGCCCCAGGATGTAGCGAAACGCTGGGAGCACCTTGAGCCAGGGGCACGTGTAGCAGCCCCCGACATCTTACTTAAATATCAACACACGAAGTCGAAAAATGCACGGGGACTCGACGTCCGAGCGATTGCGAGGGGGGGGGCTGGGCGAAGGGGGGCGACCCCCCGAGAGGGCCCCCCCCCGCCTCCCGGAGGCGCCCCTGCCTTCCGCGAGGCCCCCCCGGAGCAGGACAGGAGGCACCGCCCGCACCGCGCCGCACCGCGCCCGAAGCGCCGCGTGCCGCGCGTGCCGTGCTTCGGCAGCGAGCGAGGGGGGGAAGTGAGCAGGGGAAGGCCTTTGCAGCTTCGGGTTCGAGGCTTTCGGGCGTTTTCGTAGTTTCCAGGCGGCTGTCCGCCCCCGCGATGCATTCCAGCGGCTGCGCCTCGCCGAAAGCGTTCCGGTGGTGTCCGGATCGTCGCGAACGGCCACCGGAGAGCCGAGTTATTACCCAAAGACCAGATTCGGCGGCGCGCTCGGGGGGAAGCGAGAAGGAGAAGGCCTTCTCAGAAGGCGGCGGGACTTTTAGAAGCCCTCAGCGCCTTCTGAGAAGTTCTTTTTTTGTCTTCGGGGCGAAGGCCCAGAAGACTTCTCAGTGGGCCGGGGGACTCCCGAGCCTCCCGAGGAGGCCCGCCCCTTCTCGCCTCCCCCCCCCCGGACTCGCCCCGCCGAGCCAGACCGCCCAGGCGAAGGGCGCGCGTGGAAGGGGCTTCCCCAGGGGCTCCCGGGGGGCCTGGCCAGGAGGCCCCCGAGGAGGGAGCGATCGGGGGGCAGCCTCTTCGGAAGCGATCGGCCCCCTCCGCCCCCGGCGCCGCCCTCCGCGCGGCGAGGCGGGCGCAGAGTCGTGCGGCGTGAGGCTGCTGCAGCACCGCACCGCCAGGGGCCGCAACGGCACCGCCGCCGACGGCAGCCTCGAGGAGCTGGTCGACGCTGCCGCGGCGAGCGCCGTGCGTGCGGGCGTTCGGCTGCACCCCAACATGCTAATGCTATGTGTGCGTCGCCCCCCCCCAGGGGCGACGCGCGCACCGAGCAATCTTGCAGTATGTGCGTCGTGGCGGGCGCTTTCTGGCCACACCGCTCGGAAAACGATGTACTGCAAGATGGGTCTACTATATGTTCGGGTCGGACGCGCGCCTCCAAGGAGGACATATAGTATTAGTATGTCTCTGTGCGTCCCAGGCATGGAGGCTCTGAGCGATGCGATGCAGCTGCAGGCGCAGAACGCCTCGGCTGCCGCTGCTGGCATCCCCGAGGTGGCCTCGGCCGTGGCGGCGGCGGCGACGCGAGCGGCCGTGGAGACGCTGGTGAACCAGGACGGGCGGTCGGGAATGCCCCCCCCAGGCTCGTTCACCCGAGGAAGGAGAGTGCAGGTCCCGCAAGATGGGACTGGAGGAGTCGATTGCGGCCTTCGCTCTGAGAGTTGTGTGTTGCCAGGGCATCGACTTCCAGGCAGCCGGCTTCTGCGTCTAACTCATCAAGCACATCGATGGTCGATGATACCAACCATCCTTCCTCTGGATTGCTGCCGTCGGCTCTCGATTCGTCGGGGATCCCTGGCTGCACATGCCGCCCGCAGGCGCTG